ATTGCCTGCCACAATTTATCAAAAATAATTAGTTGCAGGTCCCTGAAGACCTCCAATGCACAACAGAGACAAGATTCTCCTTTGAAAACAGTAGGGAAGTTAAAAGTTGTAACTGAACACCCTTCATTTTCCTCCCTGTTTGAACTGAAGTGATTGCTCAAAAGGAGTTCAGGAGGAAGTGCTGAGAAGACATTTAGAATCAGGTCACAAGCACTCCTGCTCCATCAGCTGATCAAGCAGCATTTTATTATCAAGAACAGGTTTAAAACCAACCATACCTCAACTTTCAAGGCTTATACTCACAGCGTCTGATCAACACAGGAGCATCCTGAAAAATAATGACGTCTGGAATGCCCGGATTTTAATTTAACAGCCTGCTTTTAAAGAGTAGTTAATTAGATAATTTTAAAAATATTTATTAAACTAGGATAGTAGAGGGGTGAGACCTGCCTGACTGTCCTTGTTAAAACAAGAAACAAACTGAAAGAAATCAGGAACCACCTGCAAGATCTAGATTTTCCCAGAATAGCACACTGTAGTCACTCAGCCACACCACAGGCTTTGTTTCTTCAGTTGTCCCGTAGCTGAAGTACAGTCCTGTCTCAGATTAACATAACACATACCCAAGTGCCAAATATTTGTGCAACTGAGAAATAATGCTTTAAAGAAGTGGATTTGCAAGAAATCAGTAGTGAGAGGGGCCTATACAGCAAGAACAACGTGTCCTTACAGTGGTTTCAGTGACTTTATGGCTGGAAGGCATAATTGTCAATAAAGCCTCCATTTTCTGTGACACTGAACTCCAGGCTCACCACAGTATTCCCTGACACAAATACTCTCTTCTCAAAGAAATTTGATTCTTTGTATCAAATTACATGGCAACTCTGTCACAAACTATGTGAGGCAAATGAAAGATAGGTTCCTTCAGCCAGCCTTCCCCTACTTTTCAGTTTAACTGCATATCCTCCATTTCCTATGTAGCAGAAGAGGAAAAACAATCATCTTCTGCCTTGCCTCCCCTCTCCTCCTCATTATTTCTCATATGAAGATCTTTCTCCACGTTCCTAATAATTCTTCATTTTAACAATGCAGCTAACATTGTGTGCCCTTACCTATTTTGAACAATCAAGTCACAAAGAGACATTTTTTTTCTACACATGGTTCTTAAGCTTCCTGAGATACTTTACTTTCAGGGGAAAAAAACACAACCCAGCATGCAGGGCATAAGTTTTCATGTAATAGTCTGCATTGGATGTCCAGGTCTGTGTGTGTGTGTATGTATTCTCTGATATATACAATAAGCCATCTCTACTTGCTGAAATTTTCCTTAGACCATGTGCTGCTGCCTTCCCTCTCACTGCATTAGAAAGAAATCTTAATGGGAGGTGGGGGACACACATCACACTTGCATGAAACACACCTCTCTAGACATTCCAACACAGAGCAGTGCACAACTGGTGCTGCCTCTGACCACACACATTTACAGCAAATGATTTAGAAATCTTGGTATTTCTATCACAAAACTACCATCCTTCTCCAGCTGATAGCAACACAACCTGTTGCTACCACGCAGTAACAGGAAAGCTATTTCCTCAAGCCCTCTAACCAGAAATTATTTTTATACCAAAAAAATCTATTTACAAGAAGCTGACAAGACTTTCTCGCTTTCTTGCCTGTTAGCGCATTTCCACAACCAAAAAAATCTCCTCAGAAATCAGCTGGTCCTTGGAAATCCAATACCAGTTCAACTTTTACTATGAACCAAGAAAATGAAACTGATGCAAATGATAACCATCGAGAGATGCTTCTTGAGAAAAACAAGTGGTCACACTCAGTGATGGGAACTGCACCTAATTCACTGTTCACCGTGGAATCTCTGTGCTGAAAGGAAAGTAACTTAACGTAAGTAAACATCTGTGGTTTTCCTTCTCAGTTATCACAGTCCCTCGACTTCAGGCTGCGTTACTGTAACAGAGCCTACATGGAATCTTGAAGGTCACGCTGAAATTTCGGCTGGTGCAGCATGTTTATACAATGATCTTTCACAACAGGGCCATATTATATCTTTATTTCTGTGTGAGAATGGTTTCATATTCGTTACCAAGTGCAGTTCAGGGCATTAACTTCAAATTACAAATTCCCCTATGGCTTATCTCTCATGTACTTTGAGACACATTGGTTTTCCTGGCCTAACAGCCAGTAATACTTAGGATGGTCCAGCACACAACCACCTGATTTACTGGGTGTGGGAAGAACCACCAAAAAACCACACAGATTTTCACCTGCAAAATGATTCGGTGGGGAAGGGAATTTTAAACAACGAGCAGGTTCTGCAAAAAATTAAAAAGTTTTATAAAGGTCACCTACTTAAAGATGTCTCATAGTGGCTGCTGCATCACTATTTTGAGATGCTTGGGAAGTTTGGGAGAATAAATGCAGGTGAGTTTTCTCCTTCTAGTCCAGCTTCACACTTTATATTGTTTGAAAGCTACGATTACGCAAGTTCTTTCAAATGGATGAAACATTTTTTCCCAGGTATCCAGCACGTAAACTATAATTCTTGGTGACAAAATAAAATAAAAACATTAATTTTCATTCCTATCATTACATATTCCAGACTGGGAAAGGTCAATTCCCTCAGTACCATCAAATACCCTTTTACAGCACTGTTTAGTTATGAGATATAGACTCTAATTAAACGGGATGTTAGTCTTTGCCATCATTATCACAGGTAACCACCATCAGCATCACCCACAACCTACAAACCAGCATTTTTGTAAGTTTGTACGAAATGCTGTTTTTTACGTAAAAAATTAAGTCACTATTTTAACACACACTCTCATTGAATCTCAGCTTCTGTGATGCTTAATTCAACAAGATTGATAATGGCTTCCACCCAGACTGCTGGTGAATCATTGGCATCACAGCAGAAGTTTCCAAAAGCAATCCTGTTCTGTTCATCTGCTTTAGCAGGAACACTTTTATATAATAATACACAAGTCTCAAGATGCCCCTAAATTAAACCTTGCCTTATTAATGTCTACAATTTCCGGATTCATACATTCATCTGTTCACTGGAACACCAGTTTTTTAAATTATCCGCATACAACCATCTCATTGTAAATTTATAAAATATTTTGCTTTGAACTAAGCTAGTCTGGATACAGAGCTGATAAAAAACCCACAAAAACAAACAAACCACCAGAAACCACAGAAGTAACTTCCCACTCATCTCCATCAAGGCTCCTGCTGCTCACAGGTGATTGACAAGCTCACCACTCAAGTTTCTGGTTGTCAAAACAGACTGTACTGATGGTAACTGTGTTTCTAAATTTCCCTCCAAGCAGCCTGTCAAGCTGTCTGCTTTGACAGACCCTTTTCTGGGACAGGAAGGCAAAGCCATAAGCTATCGCTGGGAAAAGAAAAGGTGCCTGATAACGTCTGCTTCTATTTATGTTAGTGGAAACCATAATTTCATATCAGCACTGAGTGTCAATGCACTGAAGAAAGCCATGGTGCTCCTGGTAAAGCTTAGAAACTGTCAATAAGGTACACACTGCACCTGGAATGTGGGTTACTTATACAGCTATGAAGTCTCTTATTAGCTCCACTGACTTCCAACGCAGCAATACAGACATTTATAGCTGATAAAATTAATGCCCTCCATATCCTTATAAAGCTGAATAGGGTAAAAAAAGGTACATTTAGGATCACATTAATTTCTGCTTCATAGTACTGCTGTGTTATCTAACACCTCTGTGGCCATATCATGTGAATAAAATATAAATGGTGAAGTTAACAATTGCATTTCTCTTCCAGCAGAGTCATTAGACAACAGCATTGCTAAACCAGTTACAATGATTAAAGCAGCTCAGCCACAGCCCAGGTTACTTTGAACTTTTTAATAATTTCTGTAAATTTTTCAATTTTTTTTACCCACTTCAGCCATTTTTCAATATGGCAAAAACATCTAGAAAACAGTAGCTACCAGCAGAGGGACAGGTAATTTGTCATTCACACTTGACTGAAATTAATAAAATAAGAGAGCTACTCTGAGGGAAAAGGCATGTGGAGGAAAATTCAACATTCCCAGTTCCTAGGAGGAAAAAATCCCGGCATCAGTTCCCTGTTCTAAAACAGCACAGGCCTCAAAATGGCTTTTGAGGACAAAACCTGACACCAGGACATTCCCAACCACTAAAGCACATTAAAATGCAGCTACACCACCACCACGCTCCCGGTATGAAACCTTACCCACCCTCGCCCCGGAATCCAATGGCCAAAACAACGCCAGGGTGGAAAAATTAGTGAAAGTCAGGGGAGTTCCTGTGCGGTTTCACCACGGTTTGTCCCCATGCAGAGGGAGCCGAGGCCACCTCGCTCTTCCCTCAGGCGCCACAGACAAAAGAGCCACGGCCAGGGGAGGGGGGCTGTCCCGAGAACGGGGGGTATTAATTCCCGCATCGCTGTGGTTCAACACGACACGGGGATGAGTTTTCTTATCTTTCTAGGCACGCAGAAAAACAACAGCAGTCGCAGGGCACACACAAAAGCCGCCTGTCCCTCGGCCGCCGCAGCCTGAGGCGATGCCGCCTCTCCCCACCCCCAGCCCGGACCCAGACGCCTTCCGCCTTCCCTGCGCCGGGCACAGAGACCTGCGGTCCTTCCCCGCCTGCCCGGGGCGCTCGGAAATCGAGCCCTGAAGGAGCCTGAGGCCCGGCGAGGCACAGAACCACGGAACTGTCAGCGTTGTGAGGCACCTCTAGAGATCAGCTCGTCCGAGCGCCCGCCCCTCCGCCTCCTTCCCCGGCAAGGCGGGCAGAGCCCTCCCGCCCCATTGTTCCCTGCACCCCGCGGCGGAGCCGGCGCACTCACCACACGGGCCGGGCTCCCCGCAGCGCCCACCGGCCCCCTCAGCTCCGGCACACGGGGGCTGAAACAGCGCCCTGCTGCTCCTCCGGCAGTGCCCGCGGGCCCCGGGGCAGCGCCGCCATCGCCCGCCGCCGCCCCGCCGCCGCCGCTCCAGCAGCGGCCATCTTGTGCGTCGGCTGCTCCCCTCACCGCCTCCCTCCTTCCCTCCCTCCCCGCATCGCCCTCCCCTTCCTGCGCCCTCCTCCCCCGAGCAGCCGGGGCGGGGCAGGGAGAAACAGCCGAGTCACGGGCTGGAGCGCCGTGAGGGCTGGGCTGGGCAGGGGAACTGTCACCCAAGGCCGAGAGGGCGTCTGGCGGTCTGTGAGGGCCGGTATACCTCCCCGTTGCCCTCTCTCGCCATTTTGGGGTGTTTTTCGCTCTGTCACCTCATCTTCTCATCGCTAGCGGGCTCAGACGGGTATCGGGGTGGAGGTCGCGGCTCTTCACACGCCGAGTGCCGCCTGAGGAGTGCTCTGTGTGTTGGGAGCCTCCCGAGGGCCCCCGCCCGCCATTTTCTCTCCCTCAGGATGCTCCTGTGTTTGCGAGCGCTGCGGTTCCCCTCATCTTCCCCGCTGCCACTGCCTCACGCCAACACACCTAAGAGCTTGGGGCTGGGTAATTTTCTAACTTAAAGGGAAAATAACACAAATTAAGCTGTTCCCGCTTAGGCGGCCGTTCAGGGCAAAGCCCTCGCCGCTCTGCCCACCAGCCCCAGGGGAAGGAGCAGAGCTGGACTCGCTGCTGGAGAAGGTCCCCCGTAGCTTTATTTGCTGCAGGACCCACTGAAATCATCCTCAGCTTTAACAACACCACAGGTAAGGTGTTTGGGGACCCACCAAGCCTTCCGGTATGGCAGTATCAGAAATAGTTGAAATACTGAAGAAATTTTAAATCCTTATAAAATGCCTTACAGGTATTCATAATGAGTCGTAGCATTTACTTAGCACGTACCGACTGATAGTTTTAAAATGTTACGACAGCTAATTATTTGCCATCAGGTTATTTGAAGGTAGCATCGACCTGATGCCCATTTACAAGAATGTGAATATGGTGTAAAATACTAAGGAATTTATCCACATGTTTTTTCAAATTAAAGACCAAAAATAGTGTTCAGTGTCCCCGTCTTACTGCCCAGGTGTTTTGTCATGTCTGTGCCCAGATCTGTGGGATCAATCCTGGTGTGAGGCCACTGTGTGGGATGCTGGGTATGGAATCACTATTTCTATTTTCAGTTTGTAACACCGTGAGGAGCACACAGTGTATTATCAGTTCAGTATCCGAACTGCAGCGTCGCATGAGCTCAAAATACAATTTAAACAGAGCAACGTCAGGTCAGAAGTATCCAGGCCCAGAGCCAGAGACCCAAGACAGCAACCTGCAAAAGGAAGCTGGGTCATGACATCCAGATAGAACATAGAAATAAATCACAGAGCTAAATTCCTACACACAAGGAAAAACTACACAGGGGAGGTTACTCTTCAGCTCCTACTTCTGACTCTTGCACTGACCACAGGCAGATTTTCGTGTTAATTTTACAAGAAATGTGATGGTAATAACTATCCATTTTACTGTAGAAATCATCTCTATTATTTAGGTTTGTCCACCAAAACAAGCCTAGTGCTTATCAAGCTTAAATAACATTATTAAGAACAGCTATTAATTTCTGAAAGCTGACTTTTCTTACCATATTTTCTTACCACCAGAAGGTAATATATTTACAAATACCACCTTTAACTTAGCAAAAGCCTTAGTGTGAGTTACAAAAGAAGTGTAAATTGGAAGTGTTCAAGGCTAAGTTGGATGGGACTTAGAGCAACCTGGTCTAGTGGAAGGTGTCCATGCCCATGGCAGGTGGTTTGGAGCCAGAGGAGCTTTAAGGTGCCTTCCAACCCAAACCATTGTACGATTCTATGATAAATTGGGAAGTTTAACGTGGAAATGTCAGTCTTAAGCATTATGACTATTTTATTGTTGCTTCAAAAAGATTAACAGGAAAAATTTAAAAATCCACCAAGAGAAATCTAAAACAAGCAATGTAAACATCAAAATCCTTAGTACCATTGTCACAAAATTAAGTAGCTGAATGAACAGTTTAATCAAGAATATTATACTTACCCAGATTTGTAAGTTGGAGATAATCACACATTAGTACATTATTATATTTTTATCATTATATTGGCATTGTAATACTTTCTACAATGCCTCAATGAAACCTTCATACTACTTGTTCTTAATGGCTGTATAAATAATGTAAGAGTCTTTGTCCCGAAGCACCGTCTTTCATATAACCAATTGGCAAACTGCAGTGTAATTTTAAAAAATTTAAAAAATAAAATTCAAATCTGAATCATTATATGCTTATCTAATCAGTCCTCTCTCTTGGAAATGACCTATTAAACAGTATCTTTGCATGTTATTCTAGATCAATTTAAGTACTCTCTTCACCCTATTACTCTAGTTTAAAACTCTACATACCTGCCAGAGGGCAGGGTTAGATGGGATATTAGGAAGAAATTCCTCCCTGTGAGGGTGAGGAGGCCCTGGCACAGGTTGCCCAGAGAAGCTGTGGCTGCCCCTGGATCCCTGCAAGTGTCCAAGGCCAGGTTGGACGGGGCTTGGAGCAACCTGGGCTAGTGGAAGGTGTCCCTGCCCTTGGCAGGGGGTGGAATGAGATAGCCTTTAAGGCCCCTTCCAACCCAAACCAGTCTGAGATTCTATACCACAGAAAATTTCCAACCAATAATAGCCATCCTTTGCAGGCTCCTCTCCTAAATGTTACACAGAAATGTGACCCTTGCTGGAGTTATCAGTGTTGTGAGCAGAAGCAGAAGATGGCCAGTGTTCTTTAAACCTTGGTTTAAAGTCACAGAAACTAGAAATGGTCAAGGCCTGAGGACATCCTGATACTTCCTAGTTTCTAGCAGGTAGTGTTCTGTTCAGTCTGGGTTTTAATAATCCAGTCTGGAGACTTCTGCCACTTTCTATACTTGGTTCCTGTGTATAGTTCCTGTATTGTGGAAAGCTTTTAGTTTTCAGGTAGTTTATGTTTTCCCTCAGCATTTAATTCCATCACCAGTATTAACACGCTAACAATAATTTGCAGTATTACAACATAGGTTACTGCAGTTGTTGAAATTTAAAGAAGTGGGACCTGAAATGGCCTATGGTTCTTATTATGTAACACTCACTGCAACTTTAATTCTCAAACTCCATTTTACACCTCCATCAGTCATACTTTTCTAATGCTTCTAATGCTTATTCTTTATTCTGTTTTCTAAAAGTTCAGAAATTTGTAGGTGAGCTTGTTCTCTCCTTGGGAGCTGCTCCCATGAGGTATCTAGATTAGTTTTAATGTCTGCTTTCTCCAGTTACACAGCATTTCTTCCTGCATGACATGCTTAAAAAGCCACAGGAGTTAGTTTGATTCTACCACATACAGTCTAAATTTTAAATTCCTTTTTTTCTTTTGTTTTTCCATCCAAGAGGGGATAATGTGTAGGCATGGTTCTAGGATTTGACATTTGTGGCCACTCTAGTAATGTTCTTCAGATTATGCCTTAAAAATGACTCCTCATTTTAGCTGGTATGACCGAGAGAAATAGGTAAAATACCAGTGTAACTGTCGAATGGTGTCATCTCACCATTCAATTTTTATACTGCTCTTTCATATAAAACTGATATAGAACTGTGCTACCCGAATAGCTGTCTTTATAAAAAAATACAGATTTTTAAAATGTGTTGGCAGTGTTTCACTTTGCTGTTTTAGTTACCAACGTGAGCAGTAAAGCTGATAATAATGGAAAAATTCTCATTTTGAAACCTGTGATATCAGAATGAAAGACAAGGATGACGTATTTTTCCAGGTGGCTGCAAGTATGTAAAAAATGTCCTTGTTAATTCACACAGCCAAGATGTGTGAATGTAAACTACCAAGCATGTAAACCACAGATAACAAAACAAAAAAGAAAATCTTTAGCACTTGTATGTGCTTGACCATCTCGTTAACAAAACCTAAATTCCTGCACTTTTATAAAATTCCACTGACAAAAGCAGAAGACCATATCTGTCCAACGTAATCATTTCAAAAAATTCCAATATTTATTAAAGAGTATGCTGAATATCCAAGCCTATTGGATGCAGATGCAACTATTAGAGGTTGTTATATGTGTTTATTTGAAAACAAGAGGATGGTAGCAAAGTAGAGCCTTCCTCTGTGGAAGGACATGTTCAGTGTCTCCACCATAAGAGGCAAGATTTAGATTTCCTTTGTGCAAGAGAATCCTGAAGGATCTACAGGAATGTAAAGTGCATATATGTAAAATCAGAGTTCCTCCATGACTGCTTCTCTCCCAAACATTCAATTTGCAAACCTGCCAAACATCTCATTGAAAACTTTTTACAGTTCTTTGATGCTGTACATAATAAATTTGCAAACTCTCCATGCAGTTATTAATGTTTGTATTTTCAGGCTACTCGGAATGCAAAAGATCTATGTAAATATACCCTCTGGTTGCAGCTGTTGTGGAAAAAGAAGAAATTATAAGGGAGGTAATAAGAAACCTCAATGATTTCTCATTAGAAGTTTCACTTACCTAAGTGTCCCATCTCCTCCTCCTCCTTCTCCCGCTGGTGCTTAGGGATGCAGAATGCTGGCTCAAGGGTATATGCCCCAGATTCTCATTCTGCTACTTACTGCCTTTTTGCTTACATGTAATTCCTGCTTAGCTTCAATCCCAGAGCTTCCACTGACATTTAATACATCTCTCTCTGTGTGACAAAAATTTTGAAGCAATATAAAGTACAAGACTTTGCAGCTTAGCAGGTGTGTAGACCCACCAGGCAGAGCAAGGCACAGGCACAGTACCACAGCACATCCCTGTTGTTCTGGTGCCCTCTGCTGAAATCACCATCTGCTTGGCTTCTGAATCACCCCCAGGCGGAGGCAGCAGCCAAGTGCCATATGCTGCCACCTCTTTATCTTGCATTTCCTTGATTTATTTCCTTTTCTATTTATTCTGTCTTAACAGAAAAGCACAACTACAATCCTTTATTTCCTTTCCTTCTTCCAGCAGTACTTAGATTGAAACTAGTTCTTTTCCTTCATAACACTGCTGCATCACATTTTACAACAGCCTTTTATTGAGCTTACTTAGGAAGGTAATAGATGAATTGAGATGCTAAACTATTCAGACAATTATGTTTTATAAGAATTCCAGTGTGTGTGTATGTGCATAAAACCTCAAACTGCCTAAATTAGCAATGTAATTTTTGTTCCTTTCTGGCAGATTTCCTTGTGTACAGTAAAACTGAGGGAAATAAGAGACAGAGAGGGCGATACAGCCAGCACAGTTTCTCTCCAGCAATACCTTTGTTTAGCTGCATGTAAAACCACAGCCTTGCTCTCACTTTGCAGGGGAAGCTGAATTGTAAAGGTTAAGAAACTTCTCAGGTTTACAAAGCCAGCAGTGGCAAGATGAGGAATAAACCCACGGTCTGGTCTCCTGTTCCAGCCACTAGACCTTGTGTTCCTCCACACTCGTGCAAGTTACAGTAAATGCATTATGAGTAAACTGCAGGGTAATTTTTCCAATTGAATTTCCCAGGGAAACCCCTCTTACTACAAGAAAAAAGTAGGACTGTCTTTACATCTCTGTAAGACAGTCCCATCCCATTTCTGCAGTAAAGGAAAACATGCTGATGATTTCCTGGAGTTATCCTTGCTTAGTATCCCTCATAAAGACTCCAAGTTTTGTACTGGCTTGTTTGAGAACGCCTGATACAAGACTTCCCTAGTGCACCTTCCAGCAAATGGGACTGTCAGTTCCCACAGGAAAATCAAGAACCAACCTTAGCTACTCCTGATGTTATGAATATCTGCATAAAGCAAGTTTAGGTGGTTTTATGTTAGTGTGGATCTCAAGTAGCTGCTTATTCAGATCTCAGTTCTAGCAGTTTTTAAAAAGTATGTTGTTCACGTTATTGCAGAGAGACATGTTTGATACCTCATCTCTTAGTGGGATTTCAGAAGAGACTTGTAAAAAAAAATCTCATTTATAATATATATTTATATAATATATA